TCAACTCATAAAGTCATCATTAAAGCCCATCACTGGGGTACTTGACTTCAACCCAAACCACAGTCTTAAAGAAATCATAAGAAATTATTTTTCCAACCAAACTAATCTAGTCTCAGCTTTTGTTACCATGATCTATTCTGATATATGGAACCCAGTAATTCAAGAAATAGGGGAAAGGACAGCATTCATATAACCCCCTTTCCTGTTAGAGTAAGAAAGATGCATTTTCTATATACATCTGGGATGATTTCTGACTTTCCTTCACATATTGGGACATGAAGGATATATTTACTCTGTCAGATGCTAATACGAGAAATAAGACTGCAACTGGCCTTCACAAATCAAAGTTTAATAATTTTAACCAGCTATATAAGAAAACCTTGTACTCCTAGAGTGGGTCCTTCTCTACAGATGTAAAAATCAAGATAACCTTTAGAAAAGCCAAAATGAGAGTCACACAATCCAAATGCTAATGCCCAAGCCAATTATCAATTAGTTAGCAACTCAAAAGCTCACTGATACACCTGATTTTACACCTAGGCATGTTAACAAAAGATTTGCTTACCTAAGTACATATCTTAGAGGAGGGATTTACTAGCTTAATGACCTTAGGCAAGTTACTTCACGGGTCTGAACCTTGCTTAGCTCATTGGGAAAATGGGGGTAAACAGCTATACTTTAAAACTGTTGTGAGGATTATAGACACTTATGTAATGCACCACACAGTATCTGGCATTTAGTAGAAGTGCAATAAATATAACTTTACATGATAATTACAGGCTTTGCCAGCCAATAACAAATTGATCAGAAAGACCAAATTAGAAGTATGAGGGGTTGGTGGAGAGAAGACAAAGACAGCTCTATGAATAAATAGCTGAGAGGAAGGAAAGAGTCAAGAAACAAAGATGCAAAAACTCAGGACTAGAGCCAGCCTGCACACTGCAATAGCTGTGGAGGGCTTCCCCAGTGTTTTCACAGCACGTAACAATGGCCTGCCTTCACTAAGCCATTTAAAACAGATTAAACTTTGATTCCATGTGTTTAAAAAAAAAGACAGATAAGCACATAATTGACTTTGGAAAGCTTCCTATCAAAAGTGATTTAGCATCACAAATTTAACATTTTACATGTCTAAACTTTAATTAACTGCAAAAATCTATGAACAAGCTTCTGCTAGACTTAATGTACAAAAGAACCTCTCAAATTTCAGAAGCCATTTTTTTCTCCTCAGCACTGAAAAAAACTGTATTTCAAACAAATTAACTGGAAATATTTCAGTGCAATGGCCTAAAACATCATCAGCTTTTAACAGCTAACACAAGATAAAGTTTTTGTCTCCATCATCACTAAAAATGTTTTTATATCTACCAAACAAACACAAACATGTGCCATGAAGATCTCTTTCCACTTGAATTTTCTCCCTACATTTGGAAGGCAGTAAAAAAGCAAAAACATCTGTTCCTTTCTGCAGAGCTGACAACCCTCATTCTATGGTTTAAAAATAAATGGTGTTTATGGAAGTTTATAGATAAATGATCACCTGCTTCAAAGGCAGCAGGCAATTAATGGATCCAAAGACATGCATGTAAAATTAAGGCCAAAAAAAGAAAACAAAACAGATTCCCTAAGGAGAATACTACTGTGCCCTAGGCCTCTGATAATATCCAAGACACCCATAAAATTGTAGACGATGGTAAAGAACCAAATGTGATGCCAGATGACAAGAAAACAGACAGCAACTGAGAAACAGGGGCCTGTGTCAATCTGGATTCACTCCACCACAAGAACAGTTTCCCTGAGAGCTGTCTAGAGAAAATCTGGATCAGTCTAACCAAGAATCACTGTTCTTCCAGCCCAAGGAAGGCCAGATGTTCAACAATTAAAGGGATGGACCTTATTAGAAACAGGAACTGAAAAATCTTATAAAGTCTGTATTTTTTATAAACAGCTTTTACTCCATGTTGCCTTACAGTGTCAAATATCCAAAAATAAGTAATAAGCAAGGACATTCAGACTTAAATCAGTAGACTCAGCTTCTATTTCTGGCTCTGCCTCTGAATGAATCACAGTGTGACCTTGAGAAAATTATTTCATCTCTTTACCTACCTGCATTTCCCCACCAGCTACAAGATTACGTTCAACCCACAAATTTTTCTTCTTTTGAAAAGAAAGTGAGTGGGTAAGATAAATATATGGAAACTGCTACACAAAGATCTACTGATCACAGACCAGCTATATACCCAACCATCAAAGACAAAATCAGTAATGTCCATATTAAAACAACTCACTCTGCAATTTCACCCTTGTACAGTAAAAAATTCTCCCTGGAGAAGGAAATAGAACACAGGTACTCACTGAACAGGACTCCTTGAATTGTCCAAAATTTCAAATTTGGAAATACTTAGCAAAATAAAGTGCAATGCAAGGAACAAGGATGAACCATGTTTTTCTCTTAAGGGCCTACGATCTTCAGGACTCTGATCAATCCTCCTAGGAATGAATTCCTCTTCCCTGACCCCTGCCAAGGAGATCAGTCCCTGTACCCTTGATGCTCCCAGAACACTATACTGCATGTTTCCATGTGCTCCTGCGTACTCAGGGAGCCCTGGAGAAACAAAACCCTGATTTAATGACCTTTGTATGTCCTGCCACTAGCATATTGCCTGATACAACGTGGCTGCCCAGAATATACATATATATACGTATATATGTATATATGTGTATATATACATATATACATGTTAAATTAAAGTGAATATATATATATATATATATCCAAAGTCTAATGCTATTAGAATGAGCAACCATTAATATTAATAGATGATAATCTGAATCGTGGTGACATTTTCATTTAAAAATATATATTTATAAATGAATGATTACCTAGATAAAGATGAAACACATGGTTTCTCACCAAAATTAAATTCAAAAAATTAACTCAAGAATTTTCCTATCTTCTTCCCTCAAAAATGATCTTTCAAGGCCTTTTTTTTTTGTTTTTTATTCATATTTTTTACAACTTATCTAAAGGGTATTAGACTATAAGCATCCCTTTCATTTAACCTACACAATAAAGGGAAGGGAGAAGAAGTTAAAAAAAAATAAAAAGAAAGAGAGCAAGCAATAAATAAATGAATAAAGTGAATAAAGACTAGTCTTAGTATAAGAATCTATAAATGTAAAACAAAAGGTGAAACATATGTAAAATACAGGTGAAAATAAAAATGTGGTAAATACAAGTTGGCATTTAGCCAACTAAGTAGCTATGCCCATTGAGAAATGTCACTTGAGAAATGTGTTTTTTAATGTTTATTTATTTTGAGAGACAGAAAGAGCAGGGAAGGGACAGAGAGAGAGGAAGAGAGAGAATTCCAAGCAGACTTCATGCTGCCAGAGCAGAGTCCTACGTGGGGCTCAAACCCACCAAATGTGAGATCATGAGCTGAGCTGAAACCAAGAGCTAGATACTTAACTGACTGACCCACCCAGGAGCCCCAAGAAATGTTTTATAGATAACCTATTTATTACAGTAACAGAATTGAAGGCTTAAGCTTTTCAAATTACATTTGAAATTTTTACCATGCAAATATTTATCATAACCTACCAGTAATTGCATAAATTGTCATTCTTTCCTATTCCATAAATTCTTGCACTTATTATTTCCTTTAATAATTAAGAGTAGAAGGAAGAGGGCACCTGGGTGGCTCAGTCCGTTAAGCGTTGGACTTTTTGATTTTGGCTCAGGTCATGATCTCACGTTTCGTGAGTGTGAGCCCTGCATCGGGCTCTGTGCTGACAGTGTAGAACCTGCTTGGGATTCT